TAAAAAAAAATTTTAAAAAATTCGGGCAATTCGGGCGGGTTCGGGCCGCCCGGCCGGGCTCGGGCCGCCGAATACAAGCCCGCGGCCCGTTCAAGGTGAAATTCGGGCTCGGGCGGGCGGCCCCAAAATCTCGGGCGGGTCGGGTTCGGGCTCGGGCAAATCCTCGGGCTTTTCGGGCGGTCGCGGGCGGCCCGTCCAAAGTTCCAGCACTAATTGCGAGTTGATTTCGGAGAAGGATCATCTGGAGTTTGATCGTGATCTCTGGTGTGATTTTCCTAGTCCATCTTACCACAGCTTCTTAACATCTTCTAGAGCTCAAGAGTTTCGGTCAAAGATGGATTGGGAATCAGCAGCTTCCGGTTTCGAGGATCTCGAGTGCAATATTGATGAAGAACCACTTTTCTGGCCATTTGAGAGCTTGAAGCTTGATTGGGATTCTGCTAAAGAAACTTGGTGTTTCTTTTCCATGTCTCCGCGGAAAAATACCGAAACGTTTCGAAGAAATCTTTTCGAGATTAGACGAGCAGAGAAATTAACAAGAAGAAATAATAGAGAAGCCCGCGTGATCAGTCGTTCACCTTCAAGGCTCAGCAGAGAACCCAGAAACTGCGAGAAAGTTAAGGAATCAGATGAATTAGAATTAGAAGTCGACCCAATTGAGATGTTGTTGGGACTTGATGCATTTGATGGGCGTGAGGGAGTTGATTCTGAGTTTAACCAACGTCATTTCTCGCTCGTTGACTCTCTCTAGCTTTTGCATTTCAGTGTTGGTTGACCGTTGACTTCTAGTGTAATTAGTTTTAAGTCAAGGGGGGTATGGGTGTAACTAAAATCAAGTAAGGTGTTGTGTTAGATGTAATTTGTCAGTTGTAAATGGAAGTTTTCTCATTTCAAAAAACAAAACAAATTTGCCTAAATGATTTTACTTGCATCCCCTTCGATTCAAGTTCATATCCGCTATCTTAAGTTAACTGTTACAGTTAAACGCATCACTTAAATTTTGACACTTCATTAAAATGTTACATATCCGTTGTTTTTAAAGGCACTACTTAGATTTTGGACAGGCCTAGTGCTTTTTAGGAGAAAAACAAGAAATAGTTAGTAGCTCTCTCTAATTAAATTGATAAATATCAAGTTTACGGAAAAATTCAAGAAACAAAAAAAAGTGCATGATAAAAGGATTCTCCATTCTATTCCATTTTATTTTTGTGGGTATAAAGTGAAAAAGCCCATTTTTAGGGGGGACCATTTACCAATATTGAAAGTATAGCCCTTTTCTTTTCCTCGCCTCTTGCTTGCGCCGCGCGCGCAACAATTCTAAAACTAAAACCCTCCCAAAGCCCTCCCATCCGCGCCACCGTCGACCTCCCCGGCTCCGTTCTGGACCTCACCCGCTCTCTCTTTCTCTCTCCTCTCATTCTCTCTCCTAAATCTGAAACCCTAAGTTTCTTTCCAGATTTTTTTAAGCTTCAATTTCTGCAAAACCGACCAGCAAAGCACAAAGTATGGCTTCTGATGCGGCCATGGACTCGACGGAGCTGAAGACGAAGGAGCTCTTAAAAGAGGTCCAGATTGACTATTCTCCTTCCTTCACCAACCTCCTTAACGACGTCGTTTTGGCCATCAAACAATCCATCGATACGATTCCCCTAGACCTTCAGGTTTCTTCTCTTTCTCTCTTCCGTTTTCAAATCTCTCGATTTTGTTATTATAATCACTGATACAGCATTTCGATTTTTCATTGGTATTATTAGGTCACAGCAGATTTAGCTCCACGCTTTGTCAAAGACATTGGCGCTGACAAAGTTGATTTCAAATTCAAGAAGCCAATCTCTATTCAGTTTGGTGGCAGCTATTCCATTCGCTGCGTCGCAAAGCCCGACGTAAATGTCGATCTTTTCGTTCGCTTGCCGAAGGTACGACATTCCATAAGCTCATTCGATGTGTCGTTCGCTAATTTAGTATGGCACTGTATGAAACTAGATGTGTTTGTCTTTTGTTTGTTTGTAGGAATGCTTCCATGAAAAAGATTATCTGAATCATCGATATCACGCCAAAAGATGTCTTTATTTAAGTGTAATAAAGAAATATCTGACTTCTTCTCCGCTAATTCATAAAGTCGAATGGTCGACTCTGCAAAATGAGGCGCGTAAACCCGTGTTAATTGTTCATCCAGGTTCGCCTTTTTGTGGAACTATTAGTTTTGAACAATGCACTGACGCTAATTAAGTGCTTAATTTCAGACTAGAAAGCTAATGAAATGTATTTGTAACAGCGGCAAAGCTCGTTGAAGCTCCGGGGTTTTTTGTGAGATTAATTCCTACCGCGACTTCTCTGTTTAGCATTTCAAAGCTAAACCTTGAGCGTAATAATGTTCGCGCTATGGTTCATGGTAGCGTGTCTTCTTGGTTTAAGAGTGTTTTCTAATTTTGGAGTGTTTTCTGAATATGCTGATCAAATTTCTGAACATTCTTGAAGGGGGCATTCCACAGCCAACACCTAAATATAATAGCAGTATTCTGGAAGATATGGTTATGGAGGATACCGCGGAGTCTATCAAAAAAGTCTTCCTTGGATGGAAGGAACTAGGAGAAGCTTTGATATTGCTAAAGGTAAAATAAATATCAAAATACTGTTATCTAAAAGTTTAGGAATTTACACTAACAGGTATTTTCTTTTGATGTAGGTTTGGGCGCGACAAAGAGCTTCCATATATGCGCATGATTGCTTGAATGGATTCTTGCTTTCTGTCATATTATCCAATCTTGCAAATGAGAAACAAGTTAACAATTCTATGAAGGCAATGCAGATAGTTCGTGTAACATTGAGCTCCATTGGTATGCATTTAATTTACTATTGTTTTTAGTCTTTGCTTTTTTTTTTTCCCTTCTCTTTTTTCCGCTTCTTCTTTACACTCCAAAAAAAACACATGAATTTTCTATTCTTCCTATTTAGATTTTCATGTTTTTCTCTTTTCTCCTTTTTAAAGTACCGATTCAATCCATTCAACCTCATAAACTTTACCTCTTATTCATTTGTGTGCAAATAGATGCAGTATGCTAAATAAAATTACTAATTGCATACATAGCATGCTACCATAAAGTATGTACTTATTAGTGTTGTTGCATTTTCAGCTACCCCAGGTTTTTGGACTCGTGGACTTTACCTCAAAACCAAAGACAAGAGTGCTACTTCAAAGGAGGTCTGCTTTATTGTTTGTTCATGTCGTTAATAAATGGTTGTACTGGCTCAATGTCATTCTATTGACTATCTTGCTTCGTATCAATTTAGATCACTCAAATGGAAAGAAAATACATATATCTTTTAATTGGCTGAAAAAGCAAGGAAAACAAGATTTGTGACTTCTCTTTGGGTATCGACAGATCCTTCCTTTGAGGATTTTCCACTTTCTTTGATCGGGTTAAGTTGGAAAGGTGTTTTAGTGTAGGAACTATATCATTCAGGGGTGTTTATGTAGTTTGTCTCTGTTGTAGTTTTGGCTTTGATTTTGTCTGTTTTATGGATTTCATATCCATGTCTTTTTGTCCGTGTAATATTTTGATTTGGTCAATAATTACAGGAAAAGATGCAGTCAACCTTTAATCTAGCTTTCAGGATGACAAGGGTTGGTTGTATCCTGGTAATAAGTGTACAATTTAATGTTTCTATGCAATAGATTTTGTGGTGTAAGACTTGATTCTACTATTGTGAACTCATCTATTCAACGTTTCAGCTCCAAGATGAGGCTACTTCAACACTTCGATGCATTGAGAAATGTAGAGATGGCGCATTTGAAGAAATTTTTATGACTAAAGTCGACTTTCCTTCAAAATATGATCATTGCATAAGGTATAATTTCTCATCATTGCATATATATATATATATATATATGGAAAAGGTGATCAAGATTTGAATACAAGGAGATAATAATAGATAGTATAATTTTTTTCCTACTCGAATCCAATTTATATATTTGCATTCACAAGTAGTTAAGAAGAAGACTACATACCTTTATCCATATCTATGCCTTTTAAGTTTTTGAGGATGTATTTACTATTTGTTATTTGTCTTATTCATTGAATTAATATGTATCGTCTTGTACAAATTTTTGAGCCTGAATTGTCCTTGTGTTTTGTCTTTCAAATTCAATGTTTGCACTTATAGATTGAACTTCAAGGGAAACAGTGAGGTTTATGCGTCGGGATTTTGCTTGGATGATGAGTGTTGGAGACTTTATGAACAGAAGGTTCATAATGTTCTAACTGAAGGATTAAGTGATAGAGTAAAGCTTGTTCGTGTAATTTGGAGAAACACACCGTCAGAATGCTTTATAGAGAATGTACGGGATTAAGCATCATTCTTTTGTACTCAATGATCAATCTAGTCTATTTGTGATCTGATGTATTCATTTGTTATATAACTGGCTTTCTAACTGCAGGGTTTATCGGCATTTAGTTCGGAGCCACTGCTTATTGGGATTTCTATTAACTCTTTAGAGAAAGCTTTTAGGGTGGTTGACATTGGTCCAAATCCTGAGAACAAAGATGAGGTAGATGGTTGTGTATTTGAGATTGTTATTCTGCCATGGTTCTTGATGATAATATTTATTCTCTGTTACCTCTCTTTAAAATCAGGCTCTCAAGTTTCGAAAGTTTTGGGGGGAAATAGCCGAGCTTAGGAGATTTAAAGATGGTAGAATTGCAGAGAGTGTTGGTAAGGCATTTTCTTTGTTAGCCACTTTTGATTCCACTTAGACATTGGAAGTCGTGATCTTTTCGCTAAGTTTAAGTATCATATCGACACGATCATGTTTGTTTTTGTCTATCTTAGTTTGGAAAAGTGAGCAATGGGAAAGACATTTGATTATAAAAACAATTGCTGAATATGTGCTTATTCGGCATCTTTCTCTACCAAAAGAGAATATCACGCATATCGTGGACCAACTTGACTTCTCTTTGGTACATGGTGCTACAGGTAATAGCCCTTATTTACAGTTTTTCTAATTTCTTCACTTTTTGCTTCTGTTAACAATGTTTATAGATTTACTGAAGCAATACTGCTTGCATAGATCCTATATCATACTCTTTAAGCTTGCTCGAGGCTTTTGAAGATTTATCAAAGCGTTTGCGTGCCATTGAAGATATTCCCTTGAAGGTTTCTACTGTACAGCCTCTAGACTCAGGTATTTGTTCCTTTATCAAAGAAGCAATCATTCCTTGCGATTTTATAATAATTTCTTCGATTTCCTTATGCTTTTAATATGCCCTTTTGAAGGCTTTGGTTTAAGCTTTGTTACAGTTGTGCTTCACTCTCTCTCTCTCTCTCTCTCTCTCTCTCTCAAGACTAATCTCAGTTGCTATATCATATTATTCCCAGACAAAATATCTGGGCTTATGTGTTTCCCTTTTACACTCTTGTCTCTGATGTCCTAAAGCATTGAATGCAAATACCTGAAGATTGTCGAATGAACCCAATTCCTTGAATTAAGTACTTTCTTGGCAGTGGTTTTCTCTGTGATCTTACATCATCTTGCTCTTTTCTTTATGATTTTACATCATTAAATTAATTTATTATGTTGATGTGCTTTTAGCATTTTTGTTAAACATTAAGCTCTTACATCGTGATGAGTGCAGAATGATTTTCTATCAGTGTTTTCTTTCCCAATACTCTTCGACATATAGGTGTAGAGCAACATCCATATCTGATTGATAACATTATGTTGGCTCCAACACCACTCTTGGAGTTGCAGGCTTTTTGCGCTATCTTCGACTAATCTAGGTCCCACCTAAAAAATTGGTTTCCAAATTGTTGTTGAATGCCTATTTATGTAGTTAGAATTTTCTTACCTCTCCCCTGACTAATCAAGGATTGCTCTTATTGTTGTCACAGCTTTCAGGTTTACATCTGTTTACCCACCTGAACCTCATCCATTGGCTAATGAAAAAGCAGGTCGTCTACGACTATCTAGGTTCACTCCGTCCTGCATTCAGCCGCTGGAAGTTATGATCCAGGCACGATTCTTTGTTGAACAATCATTTTACCATTCGAAATTAAACCTTAAGTTAATATCTGAAAACTTATTTGGTTGCTCTGTTTTAGTTAGAAGGTTCTGGGAACTGGCCTATGGATGAGGCAGCAATCGAGAAAACTAAATGTGCCTTCCTTCTTAAAATTGGACAGAGGTAGGTCAGTTAAGGCTTTTTCAAATTGCTGGTATTGACTACATTTTTCTGAAAACTGTATCTAATAATTCTGTTATTGCAGTCTTGAAAATAATTGGGGGATAATGTGTACTGCCACAGAGGATAATGTAGACGTTTTAATGTCTGGATATGGGTTCCGTCTTAAAATTTGGCATGAAAGAGGGCTGCATTTATTGGGAAGGGAAAGTAAGAACTTGACTGAATAATAATCATGGTTTTCTTGACTAATTCTCCTGGTATGCTGACTTTTAAAACTTGCTCCCATATGTAGCTGGAAATGATCAAGTGAAGAGGGTTTCCTCCGTAGACAAGGAGCTTTTCTTTCGCAGCCAGCATTCTAGCATGATTAATGGACTACAAAGTCGTTATCCTGTATATGGGCCAGTTGCTAGGTTAGTAATTTGGTTTGTATAAGAGTTTTTATCTTCTGGTGCAATCAAACTGCATTTAACTTGTTTGGTTTTATGTGAAGGCTCGCAAAACGATGGGTTGCTTCACATCTCTTCTCGCCCTGCTTGGTGGAGGAGGCAATTGAACTTTTGGTTGCCCATCTTTTCTTGAAGCCTTCACCGTATGATGTTCCATGCTCACGGATCACTGGGTTTTTGAGGTTGAAGATTCTATTTTCCGTCTCAAGGCTTTTATAAATTAGTGCTACTTTTGTCCAATCATGTCGTATATATTCACATTTAAAATGGATGTAGAAGCTATCTTCCAGTTAGATTGTAGTTTTAAATTTTAATAAATAAAAGAAAAACTTAGAAGAGCTAGGAATCATTTCAAGTTGTCTCTTTGAGCTAACAATTTCCCTTTTCCTGCATCGTTCTCTCTTGAACAGGTTCCTACGACTACTATCAGAATACGACTGGACTTTTTCTCCACTGGTTGTTGACATAAATAATGATTTGGCTTCAAATGGAGAGAAAGAGATAACTGTATGTTCTTGTGTAGCAATCATTAAGAAGTCAACTATTATTGTCCTCCCATTCTTTTGCAATCTTATTCTTATCTGTTACTAAGTCTGGTGACAAATTTTCAGGAGAATTTTATGTTGAGTCGAAAAGCTTACGAGGAAAATGCACAACATGTTGAACCTGCAATGTTTCTAGCAACAGCTTATGACAGGTCATCTGAAGCTTGGACCAGATCCTCACCTAGCTCATCGGTTAGTCCTCCTGATCGAACTCAATTGTGTTACCTTCCCCCTTTTTTTTTGTCGAAGATGTCATGCCTGATTAAACTTTTCACTTTTTCTGGTTACGGTTCCTTTCTCATGAACCTAATTTTTATTTTGTTCAATTTATCACTCTCTTGAAACTTATTTTCTCTTCAAAGTTTACATACAGCCATGCATAACCCAGACTTGGTACCAAATGAATTTGAAAATCCAGTGAAAATGCAGAACATTAGATTGAATACTTAGAAATGTATTTTTTAGAAGTTTCATGGAAATAAGTTTTTCCTTTTTTTTTTTTGGGCCCTATGGACATTTATATGCCTGGACTAGTGCCTAATCCTTGTTTATAAACACACCTAAGGATTTATAGCAGTTATTTCTTGCTACTTTTTATTTTTAATTTATATTCACACATGGATCTTGTTGAATTAAAAGGAGCTTAGAAGGCTGGCAGCTTATGCTCGAAGCAGTGCAAACTTGTTGACCAAACTCATTGTGGAGGATCATACTGATTCTTATAGATGGGAGGTTAGTTCCAACTACGACGCTATCCTCTAACAATTTTATTGTTATATATATTTCTAATTTTCTATACATCTTTGAATCGTTCTCCCTACGCGACTTTTCGCTTGCAGTGTCTTTTCCGGACTCCTTTGAATAACTTTGACGCGTTGGTTCTTCTCCATAGAGAAAAACTACCGTACCCCCACCGCCTTCTCTTCCCATCCGAATTAAGACAAGGTATATATATATATTTGTATGTGTTTTTCTGACACAATTGATGCCCACGTAATTCCCATTTCTTCTTAGGGGACTCAATGCTCGATTCCCGTTATTTTAAGCGTGAGTGTACTGTTTTTGGCCAGGAATCCGTGTGGCCCGGGGAAACCCTAGCAAGCTTTTCCGTCCCTTTCTATTACCTGGAGACTTGAAAGGGAATTCAAAGGAACTAAGAAACAAGCTCTTGGTAGATTTTGATCCATTGAAGTGCTTTGTTGGGGATCTAGAGGCAAGTACTATTGTATTATGGACCTCACTATAGAACTTTAACATTATTTATATGTTTGCACACATATATATAAATAATCGTATCTTGTTGTTTATAGGAATTCTCAAACACGTTCAAGATATGGTATGATGCACTGGGAGGTGATGCTGTTGGCTTAACTTGGGGGACAAATTCTTCAAAGGTTCGGTTTTCATCACTCTGCAGTTAGAGTATATTCAGTATATAATTGTTACAAGTTTTAATATTTCATTAACAAATCTTAAGCAATTAGCTTCAATATTTGATCTTTAAAATTGCTCTCTTTTAGAAACGAGGGCGAGAAGAAGCAAGCAAGGAAGTTAAAAATCCAACTAAGCTGTTACAAGCTGTTAGCGAAGCTGGAAAAGGGTTTGTGAGGAGCGTTTATCTTCTTAAAGCCCCAAGGCAAACAAGTTGATGTTTTATTTATTTATTTATTTATTCTCCCGAGACTTTTCTTTAAGGCTTGCAAATTTAATATTAACATGTTTTCGGTTCACGATTTTGCTTGTTTATATGGTTGATTTTGCTCTCTATTAGATTGAAACAATAGATCATTGCAATGGTATACATAGAACAGTTAGGCCTGTTTGGTTCGTGAGTTTAAACCTATATGGTTTTGATTTTATTACAATATTTTCTCTCATAAAAAATTTGTTTCAAAAGTTCCCGTTAATGGATTCTCTCTCAAAATTTAAATGAAGAATAAAAACCACTGATGAATCCGTGAACTAAACGAGTTCTTAGTATCTTGAGTCGATAAAGAAAGGTCATTCTTGTGAAATCTTAAAAGATGGGAAAAAAATTTATTGACGATGAATAGTTTGGTAATAAGGAATGGGTTTTTGAGGAACAGCTTCACGTTGAATATTAGAACTCATTAAAGCACAATTAGAATCATTATGCTCGATAAAAGGATCGAGGGAAGCTTCAATAGAAAAATGTTGGAAGGGGAAAGTAAGTACTTCGAAGATGAACTTGTTCCTACTCAATAGTTTGGAATCAATGACGATATTAAGCCTGGACAACTTGTTCTTCCTAACTACCTTGATTCGATGCCAAAGAATTTCCCGTTGTTATTATATAGTGCTCCTCTCTACTTCTTGGTAATAAATAAAGCATTTTCTTGTCCCTTTGTAAAATGATAATTGCCCGGTGTGTCGTTTTTCTCGAGGTGTGTGTGTGTGTGTGTGATAATGCTGTTATATTTACGCACGGTGAATTGATGTTGCCATTTTCTCAAGTTTTCTCGTTTTTCTCGTTTTTAAAGATGATGTCGTTCGTTTTCCTCAATTACCCCCTTGACGTTCGACAAAATATGAGCCCTATTTTAATTAGATAAGATAAGTAAATAGTAAAATAGTTATTTTTTTATACAAGGAGAGGAGGGGGAATGCCTAGTGGAACTCAGAATGACTCAAATTCTCAACACTTAAAGAAAATTGTAGAGGTTGTTTTTTTGTAACGAAACTCAGAAAAGGTTTAAACTCGAGTTAAAATTTTATTTAAGTTCATGTTCTTTTATAAAATTTGAGTTTGAACTCGAGTTTGAGGCTAAACTCGAGTTCAAGTTTTCCCTTCAACTCGAGTTCATAAACTCGAACTCAAGTTAATTAACAATATTTTTTCTATTTTTAAAATTGTCATAACTTTTTCATTTTAATTATGATTGAGAGGATTTTTTTTCTATGCATTCACAATGAAAAGATGAATAAAATTTCACCCATATACCCTATTACAATTTTTCATCATTATTGAGTTTTTATTAAAATACTATATAAATATAAATTTAAGTTTTGACCCATAAAAACACAAACTAAAAAAGATTCTCAATATAAATCATAACTCAAATTTTCACATCTAAACACAAACTCAAAATACAACTTCAACTCAAATTATAACTAAAATTTAACTCATTGTAATTCATCCTTCTGGTCCCTTTGCAAAATAATAATTGCCCGGTGTGTCATTTTTCTCGAGGTATGTGTGTGATAATGCTGTCATTTACGCACGGTGAATTGATGTTGCCATTTTCTCAAGTTTTCTTGTTTTTCTCATTTTTAAAGATGATGTCATTCGTTTTCCTCAATTACCCCCTCGACGTTCCACAAAATATGAGCCCTATTTTAATTAGATAAGATAAGTAAATAGTAAAATAGTTATTTTTTTTTATACAAGGAGAGGAGGAAATGTCAGTGAAATTCAGCGTGACTCGAATTCTCAACACTTAAAGAAAATTATAGAATTTACATTTAAAAGTAAAAAGTTTATGAGTCTAAATTTTTATCATATATTCTTGATTTATACTCTTTTGCTGGTATAATTATTTGATTAAAAATGTTACTGATTTAGTGCACGTGCCGAACAAGTAATAAAGTGAATGAGCAGAGTATCGTTCCTACGGAGAAAGTTATCAATATTTTTCCTAATAAGATCCAAGAGATGCAATGTAAACAAATTTAATGGTTTGATTCAACTACAAAGACTAAAAGAATTGCAGTAAACATAAGTAAATAAATGTACACTCAGTTATCAAAGGTGAAATTCAATCTATGTGAAGGTCTGGGACTCAATTTCCCCTTCACTGCAACCTGAGCTATTTAGGCTACGACTTTTGCTACAGCAATGCTGTCAGTTAACCTGAAACACGAATTTTTACACAAGAATCTCCCGATCTACTTATGATTTCACCTCTTTACTCAAAGTTCAACATATTCCTATGAGAAATCTAAATAGAGAGGTTATGTTAAGCATGTGTTTCAATTAGGCTATGTGAAACAAGTGTATATTTTTATACTACTCGCAAATCAACTAGATTTCTGTGTGAAATTTAGCCAAACAACACACTGTTCAATATTGGTCTAATCCCAACTAACTTTCCAGCAAATTGAAATCACTATAGTTTGCTTATGATGGCCGGTCAGTAAACAAAAATGAACAAGAGAGATTATATTGAACAAACTAATCAGTATCAGTATAGCAAAAGTGAGCATGCATAACGTCAAATTACAGATCTGGGTACTCTATCTTCCTAGCCACATTAATTTAGCTCATAGTTATTATGTTAATTTTAACAAAATATACAACCATGATATGAGTACATAAGAAGAGGAAAGAAAAACCAAAATGAGGTGAATAACAGTAAGACAAGATGATGCTTGGTAGTCTCCTCTTGTGGCTTCACTCATTGAGATCTCATCTCTTCCGTATTCATGCTTCTTTCTTTCTCTCTGGTTTTCTTTTTGCTCTATGCTGCTTCTTTCTTACTCAGTGCCATTCTTTTCTATTTTCTCTTATGGTTCTCTCTTTGCTTCCTGCGGTGCCCCATTTCTTTGAGAATTCAAGCGCATTTCTCTTTAGGGAAACTAAGGACGCTAAGGTGGCTCCTACTCAGAGGTTGGGTCTAGCTGACTAAGCACCAAGTCCATCTTCTGCGCTCTTTGTCCTAATTCTCTCGTAAAGTTATGCACTGGCGTCATCCACTAACTGCACGCTGTCATATTTTTGCTATAGCAAATGCTGCAGCATTTATCCTCACAAAACCTGCAAATCAGAAACGACACCTCTTGGACACACGTTACATGTTTTCTTCAAAACATCACAGAAACAACACACAAATAAATCTCAGCAGAGTGCACCACATGAACCAAAAGTTGAGCAAATAAAGTAGAAAATTAACAACTAAACCTTTGGAAGAGCCAATTATAAGCCTAGAAATGCCTAAAATATCTAATTCCTGGAGTTATCACACCTTCAAACTTAAAGTTTTACCCGACCTCGAGCAATGACACTACAAAACAAATGACACTACAAAAACAACATAAAAACAAATGACACTAGGATAATTCCCTTTTCAGTCAACCATGTGGGTTCAAGGTGTGGTTAAGTTTCTCAGGGGCTCTTTTATTATTATTATTTTCTTTTTCCACGCTTAAGCTTTACACCAACTCTCTTTGAATTATAAGATCGACTCATTTCTCCTTTCCATTCAAATGCTCTTCCCTAGTTAATGTAAATTCCATTCCTTTATACAATTAATCAAATAAAATGGTAAGATAAATATAACCAAATAACAAAATAAACTAAAATAAATCCTAATTATATATTTCAAAAAGATAAAATAAAATGAAACACTATCATTAATTTACCACTTACAAATATTATTGAATAGTTAAGTTAAAAGCAGCAAGAGATACAAATACTGTTAGAAATGGTTTAAACGTCGAGAGCACTGCAATTGCCTCAACCACATTCAGAAGGAAGAAAACCATGTGAGTGCCTGCAGTGCATTCATCATTTTTAAATGTCGAGTGAATTTAACAACAAATAAGTTAAGCTAGATTGACAATTATTCCAACACTATACAAGAGTCAAGTACTCAAAGCAAAGTAGCATATAAATTATTATTTGACAGTAGATAATGTTGCAATTATGTACCCACGTGATGAAAATGGCGAAGAAAAAGAAAATATAGAGGCAAGAGAATTTGTATTGCATTAAATCAAATTCATAATTATGTTATTTTGTTCATGTTTCCCATATTTAAATATTCAAGGCTATATGCTCCATCTACTAGTGCTAAAAATGAAATCACCAAAGCACATTGGACAACAATTAATAGAAACAGATTGCATGCATTCATCCCGAGCCCATCAATGAAACAGAAATGACCTAACTCAATTATACTTGAAATTTGGCTCTAATTTTCACTCATATCACCACACCCCAACACCGGTTTCAAGTAATGTTGAATGTGTATTTCAGCATCTATATATACACACACACACATAAGTACTTTTCATATCATGCAGGAATTATGGCTTCCACTCTCTAGTTTCTTGACATATATACTTCTCATATATTTATTTATTCTCCGGAGACTTTTCTTTAAGCCTTGCAAATTTAATATCAACATGTTTTCAGTTCACGATTTTTCTTGTTTATATGGTTGATTTTGCTCTCTATTAGATTGAAACAATAGATCATTGTAATGGTATACATAGAATAGTTAGGCCCTGTTTGGTTCGTGAGATTAAACCCATATGGTTTTGATTTTACTATAATGTTTTCTCTCACAAAAAAATTTGTTTAAACAGTTCCCGTTAATGGATTCTCTCACAAAGTTTGAATGAAGACTTAAAACCACTAAGGAACTTGTGGACCAAACATGTGCTTAGTATCTTGTGCTGATAAAGAGAAATCATTCTCATAGAAACTTAAAAGATTGGAAGAAAATTTATTGAGTATAAATAGTTTGGTAATAGGGAATAAGGTTTTCAGGAACAGCTTCACATTGAATATTAAAACTCATTAAAGCACAATTAGAAACATTATGCTCAATAAAAGAATCGAGGCTTCAATAGAAAAATATTAGAAGGAGAAAGTACTTCGAAGAGTAACCTGTTCCTACTCAATAGTTCAGAATCCTTGACCATATTGAGCAAGGACAACTTATTCTCGCTAACTACCAAGATTCAGTTCCAAAGAATTTCCTACCGCTATTATATAGTACTTATCTCTATCTGGTAATAGATAAAGCATTTATAATTTTTTTCTTATCTCTGAGATTTCATGAAAGTCT